TTTCTATAGCAATTACTTTCTCAACATTCTAAGCATATGTTTAGAGTGGATTAATTTTTACCACTAAACTTTGCACCTTCTAAGAACCTGCCTATAGGCCAGTGAGAATATTCTTAGGATTATGCTATATTTCTTTTAAGCATGTTCTTTAGAAGAAATATAGCATGATCCTAAGAATATTCTCACTGGAAGGTTTAAAAAACATTCTTAGAACATGACTATAAGAAATATAGCATGATCCTAAGAATATTCTCACTGGAAGGTTTAAAAAACATTCTTAGAACATGACTAGAAGAAATATAGCATGATCCTAAGAATATTCCCACTGGAAGGTTTAAAAAACATTCTTAGAATAAACTGTGCTATCAGGGAGTAGTCAGTGCTGTGGACTACAAGTCGAGTGGTCTTGGGTTCGAATCCCTGTGGCTGTTTATTTGTGTTTGTCCAGGGTTAAGTGGTAGAACAGCTTATGCTGAAGTTCGCCCTTTGATCATTCATAAAAAAAGTAAAAATAGTGAAGTTATTACGCGTGGGTCCCATTGAGATAAAAATTAGACGTCCTCAAGGACGTCGCCAGCCAATGGGCGAGGGGGCAAGATGATAGATTGTAGGTTAAATAAATACAATTTGTAGTGTCCGACCAAAGCTTCGGCTTTGGCAAAAAATGCGAGCTTTGGCCAAACATTTTGCTTCGGCTAAAACTGAGCCGAAAGTTTAGCCGAAGCCGAACATTTAACTTAAATTTAAAAATTTCCCATTGGGAAGTAAGGCTTTTCCATTAGGATGTTAGGCTTCAGCTAAACCTTTTACTCAATTTTAGCCGAAGCCGAATGTTTGGCCGAAGGTTACAATTTTTATAAATTTATTTAATAAAATCATACATCTTCGACTGAAGGTCTTAAAATAACCGAACATCGGCTTCGGCCAAAAAACTCACTTTTAATGGGATACTAACAAATTTTAATATTGTTTAACCCAAAATGGTGAAAAGCTGATAATAGTTATTTTTGTTACAAGTACCTAAAACGAAGTTTTTCAGGACGAATCATTGTTGTTTCCGGACGAGGCTTTCGCCGAGTCCGGAATAGCAGAGTCCTGAAAAACTTCATTTAGGTATGTGTGACAAACACTATTTTTTGTCATACGCTTTTTACAATTCTTCAAAACGCTTAAATTTGCAAATTTTCCATAATTTTTAAATCTAATGTTAAAAAAAGTTGTCTTGGAAATAATTGACTATGGACTATTACAAAGTCCCGTCCGTTACGCTTTAAATTATTAGTTTTTAAGGAATTAAACAGTCAACCACGATACCTAATTTTGTCAAATAAAAACCTTGTTAAACAGCTTTAGTTTAGAACTATTTATAAAAATTTGACATTGGTAATATAATAGAACAATATTATTTTGTAAATAAAAACAGGGCAACTGTCCTATCCGCTACGCGTGGAATGGCTCTTTAACAACAATTTTTTTTAATGAAAATTTTGGAGACTTAATTAAAACCAACACAGTATAAAATATTTCGGTGTAAAGTTACCAAATGGAGTGGTAAAATCATTTGGTGTTAATATATACACTAAAATTGGTGGAAAATTTTAAGTGTTTATTTTAAATTGTGGTAAAATTCATTTGTGTTAATTTAAAATCATTTAACACAGCACCGTGCCAATCTAGTGTTAATTTAAAGATAAACTCGACGCGGTTTACATTTGACACTATTATGTGTTGACAGCTACACAAATTGTGGTAAAAAAGGCACGTAGTCATCACCATTCGCTAACGGCAAGGGCGCGATCAGTATTCCGAGTGCAGTTGATGGTACCTATGCATGGCTATTTTAATTTAAGACCATGGTTTTTAAATTAAAATTCAGTGGTTGGGTGAAGTGGTGCAATGTGACAGTGGATGCAACTTATGTTTGTGATAAAACATGTTTTTTTTTACCTGTAATTTTTAAGTGAAATATGAAATTTAGTAATATTTTAAGTTTTTTTAGCTAGTGAAAAATCATATTTAACTTATATACATTAGGGTGTCCCTTATTTTTTATTTTTTCACGCATACCCTCTAATTATACTTATTACGTGTTTATATACTCCCAGTAAAAATTTCAGCTCATTCTATAAACGGGAACCCGTGCCGACTTGCATCTGAACCCTCCGTTAGCCAACGTTAGGCGCGCGGTATTTTGTAACACGGTTGGTCGCGAGGTCTTCGATCGTAAGTCATTTTGTGTTTGTTATTATGTGACCCTTATATTATAAATTATTGACAAATGTTAAAATATAGTTTTATTTATGTGTATACTTTTATAAAAATGTATATTTTCACAGAGAGTGGCTAGTTACCCGGTGTGAAGTGAATAGGCCGTAAACTCTGAAATTGATAAACTTAATGGGTTTTACTCTAAATTACTAAAAGAGTCTATTGTGAGAGATGACTACCGAAAACTTATTGAACTGTCTGAAATATTTTTGGGAGGACATCAAGAAAAGAAATGCTTATAAAAAGCTGAAATTTCATATAACAGTATATTTTAGCAATACTAATTAGTATATTAATATATTTAAGGGATAAAATGAACTAAATTTTTTTTTGGTTATTTTTTAATGGTCATTCAGATATAATAAAAAAAAGAATTTCGGGTAATTAGTTTTACGGCCTATTCACCCGACATTTCCGGGTAACTAGCCACTTCCTGTAAAAATATTCATTTTTATTAAAGTATACACATAAATAAAACTATATTTTAACATTTTTTAATAATTTATAATATAAGGGTCACATAATAACAAACACAAAATGACTTACGATCGAAGACCTAGCGGCCAACCGTGTTAAAAAATACCGCGCGCCTAACGTTGGCTAATGGAGGGTTCAGATGCAAGTCGGCACGGGTTCCTGTTTATAGAATGAGCTGAAATTTTTACTGGAAGTATATAAACAAGTAATAAATATAATTAGAGGGTATGCGTAAAAAAAATAAAAATAAGGGACACCCTAATATACATGTTATAAATAAACAACAATAATGTTATTTAAATAATTTAAACTAATTTATTTAGTACTATAAGTCTTTATTCAAAACTTTACTCTCACAATATCAACCGATCGTTTTCAAAGTGTCACACTGCCGTTAAAACTAATGTGTCTACGTAGGCTCTCATTTGTTTATCTTCTCTTGCCCTTGGTATGCTCTTAAGTACCCTTTCGCTAACATACATATATAAGCTAAATATGGTTTTGCACAAACTGGAAAAACTTAAAATATTACTACTTTTCATTACATTAAAAAAATTATTAACACTTCTTGGGTATAAGTATACTATAGTGTTAATAATTTTATGCCAAAGCCTATTTGCATTCATATCTAATAGTTTGTAATATAAAATATACTTTATTTTACATTACATGCTGTGAGACCTGTGTGACCTATTATAGGTCACACATATATAATATAGACCACTTCTTGTGTTGTTTTTTCAAAAAATTTTATACAGTGTAGATATCAGAAAAACCGTTGGAAATATTTTAATTAATGAATCATTGTTTATTATTTACATTTTGAGAAATAATTCCTAATTTGAAACTATTTATTTATTATCATATTTTTAATTAATTTCTAAATAAACAAATGAAAATTTTAATGACTTCTCCCTTAAATTATAAAAAAAAATTAGTTACATGCATTGTACACTTTAGTTAAATATATGGCAAGAAAATTTCACGTCTCGCTATTAGTTTAAGCAATCTGAATTTATTTATCCCCGAAAAAGTTTACACTGAAGTGATACACCGTCTAAACTTTTATAATCGTGAAACTGGAGGGTATTTTTTTATAGTAACAGATTGTTGAAAACGTAGTTTGAATTTTAGTTCGTGAGAATCATGTTCCTCTTGAGAGCAAAAACAAAAAGCAATTTTTTTAAATGAATTTTTGGCCCATTTAAATAATGACTCTGCAGAAGTGATGTGCTTATCATTGTAGCGTTGAAGACTAGCACGATAAGCTTGTGTTTTCACGCTTCCTCCCAAACCATCACATGCTCCTTTACCGTGAGATGTCGTTCTTGTGCTGAACTAAATTTGCAAAATTATATTTATTTTTATACTGTGAAGCTGCTCCGCCAGAAAAGTATTTTTTTTTAAATTACACTGGTCTGCAACAAAATCCTCCTTCAAAACTAATTTAAAATGTTAAATCTGCATTCATAAAATTGCCGTGAAGGGCGCTCCGAACACCCACGCCATGTCATTAGACAGTGTTGATCACGTAATGTTCTTACATCTCGCCTCAGTTAGCTTACGATAAGAGTATATAAGCTCAGGTAGCCGTTTGTTTTATGTGTGTTCCACAGTGGAACTTTCACTATACCAAATTGCCTGATACAAATAAAACCCTCAATATAGGTCGAAACAGCTGTCTGTCGGTATTTGAAGTAGGTGGAACGCACTTAAAACAAAAACTCTGGCGAGGTGGATGTTCAATTCTTTCTCTTTATATTAATTCCATAATTTTGTTTTGAATACCAACCTTTAAAGAATGAAACTTTTACATTTTCAGAATGTTAACCCAACCGTTTTAGAACATCAGCGCAAATTAAAAATTATTTTAATTTAACATTTTATTGGTGTTAAATGAATAAGGTTAGCTGGACATTTCAAGAAATTTACCTTAACTTAACCTTAAATCTTAAGAATGTTAGCACAACCATTTTCGAAATATTACTCCGACATATCAAGAATGTTAAATTAACCAGATAAGCAGATTAGAACAAATATTCTCATTTTGTTCATTTGACTGTTATTTGTTGTTCAATTAAATAATACAATTTGACATTTTTAGATGGTTAAGTAAATGTGCAAAAACCATTGCTTGTATTTAAAGTGCATACAGAGTTGAATTAATATTTTTTTTGTTGTTTCAACCGCTAATTTTTTTCAGTGTATAAAGACAATATTCAACGTCAGAGAATTTTTTGCAGCGCCGGTTCGATTCAGCAATCATCATTCCTGGAACACGCATTTATTCCAACAACCGAAGGCCTTTTGGTAAAAAGAACCAGTTCTAGCGTAGATTGTAAAATTTTAACTTTTTTTAAATAAAATAGGTACTTTCCTCCTTTATTACAATATTGTCTCATTATGTTATTATTATTATTTTACTATGTATGTTTTTTTTCGGCCTAAGGAACGCTCAGTGCGACACGTATGTACTTTAATTTATTTATCTCCTAAACTATTGCAGATCCCATTTTGAAACTTATGGTGTATAATACATTTACTTTAGTCTGTATTTTAAAATAAAATGTTTAATGGTTAAAAGTTACTAAAATTATGATTTGAAAAGTTTAATTCCGGTTTTGTATATAAAAATAAAAAATCCAGTTTTATTTTGTATTAAAAAAGAACAGTAAATTTTCTATTTAAGTCGCCATATTTAATATTTTAAAATGAATTTGTTTCATTCGAAGAACTATTTCCAAAAAATACAAATTTCAAAAACGACAATTCTTTAGAAGCCAATAACTTGACCCATAAACATCATACAAAAAAATATTGTTTGTCCACATTCATACCTACTAGAAGTTCAATGAAAGGGCTCGGTGCAAGAACCCGGTATCTCCATATTCGGAAAATGTTCAGGAGAAAAGAAAAACCTTGTTAAAAATTATTTTGCACAGTATAATTTCTGCGGTATCTCCTGTATCTAATATATTTAGTTAACGCTAACGTGGATCTACACGGTTTGTGCACCGAACGAAGGGTGTATATACCTAACTCAATTTATCAAAAATATGGAGATACCCAGTTCTTGCACCGAGCCCCTCAATTAAGCTGAATATGAACAAATTTCAGAACGTCACTTTTTTTTCGATGTCCACTTCACATGAAATGCCCCTATAGCTAGCCATTATTTGTTACTGAGCAGATGAGGATGGAGATGGGGACTCCAAACAATCATTGTCTAGCTATGTCATTACAGAAGCACACTTCCAACTAAATCACACACATCGCTATTTATAGTTAGGTTACTTGAGTAAGCAACCGTGAGGTGTATCTCTTTGGCTGCGGCAGGCCATATTCCGGCAGTAAGCGGGCCGTTTAGGGCAAGCCGAACGATTTTGCAGCGGCATGCCGTATTCTGGCCGACTTCGGTTAGAACATGGCCAAACGGTACCGGGCTAATATAACGCGGACCATAAGCGGAACGACTGGGGGCAAGCCGAACCGCAGGTCAACCGAGCGAAGGCCGACCAGTGTTGCCAGATATTTTAAAGTCGAGGCGCCAATTTTCGAGTGAGATATCGCCCAAAAGCGCCAACAAAATTGCAATCAGTGCCAACGTTAGATTAGTAAAATTAAAATGAAATTTTTAATATTTTTATAGTTAAAGACATTTTTCTTGATAGTAAACAATTTTATAATTATTTATGAAATACACAAAAATAAATGTTTAATATTATTAAAAATAAATATTCGTTATTTTTAAAAATAAATAAATTTAAATATGGCCTACTAGCATTCAAAATTATAAGGAATAGAAACTGTTCCTATTCATTATTATTGTGAATGCTAGTAGGCTATATTTTTTAATAATAATATTACTGCACAACAGCCCAGTAACGGAAAGGGAAAAAAAGTTAGCTGTCCAATCAGAACTCATATTTCAATTTTAATTTCTTTTACCTGAATTTAAATTTTTACCGCACTCACCTCTAATTATAAAATTACATTTTTTACACATATACATACTGGCAACTTGCCAGGTCGAGAACTATCGATAGTCGGCACTATCGATAATTATCGATAGTCAACGATCAGACTATCGATAACTATCGATAGTTTTCGATAGTGGAAAAGGATAAAGTATTATGGGTAAAATAAGGTTATAACTAAATAAAATAAAAGAATGAGATGGTTTGATTAAATATTTTTATGTAAAAACGTTAACATATCCACATTATGTGGTTTTAAACGTGAGTGTTTTTCAGTAATTATTATCTATTGTTATCTATTATTATCTATTGGTATCTATGATTTGAACCACAGACAAACTGTCACGCCTTAGTTTAAAACTGTAACCAAACAAAATTGCAGAGACCTGTATGTTAAAAATAAATGTATTTTTTGGTAGATTTTCTTTATTTAGGCAGTAGTTTAGTTAAAAAATATATGGCTACACTAAATAAAATTAAAAATATTATTATTATTACTATATTATAATTGTTTTAATCTTTGTATACCTGTGGGGCCCTCTAGTGACTACTATCGAAAACTATCGATATTTTGCAGAAAACTATCGATAGTTTTCGATAGTAGCAACTATCGATAACTATCGATAGTGCTTCGATAGTTCTCGACCACTACTGGCAAGTATATGTGTTTACACTACTTTAATGCCATCTATGATTATTATTTGTGGTGATTGCTGTTATTATCTATGTACTATATACAGGCAGCTGCAATCTGAAGATATATTTTAAGTAAAGTTTAATTAAAAGAATTTACAAAACAGCAATTTATTTTTTCAGAAATCGCCCAAAATGCGGTTTGCGCTTTTTATAAAAAACTAGGCGCAAATTATTTCTTAAAACCGCCCAATTGGCGCTAAAGCGCCCAATCTGGCATCACTGAGGCCGACTGTTTGCCGAGTGTTTGGTGCTTACTGGAAATACACATTTTTAAGTTGTTAATTCTATGGTTTCATAGATGTCGCTCTATACAAAGTTTCAATTTAAATCATTTTTAAATAATATTAAGTGTTTATCGTAGAAAAAGTATAGTATGCAACTCGTTTATAAACTTTTCTAGGCACTCATTTAATTAAGCATTTACGTGCCTAGATTAAATTCGTGTCTAAAATGGCGTTTATCAATCTTGATACATAATATAGGTACCTACTATTATTATAAAAATACACAAGTCAGCAATGTTTTTTTTTCTTTTGCTTTTAATTTAAATTCGCCTCTTAAAAGAAATATTTTTAAAAGTAAATAGATTTTGCCATCCAACAGGCATAATGAAACGCCCCAGGGCCTGGGGCGTTAAATATAAAACTTCCCTATAATCATCGCGAGGCTGTTGAGTATCATGAACTTGAGTATAATAAACTTATTTCTTCATCTTCTAGTGCAGATTTGTAATTAGATTGGTTAATTTTGGACCAGTTCAAGAGCATTTGCATGTGTATTATCAAATAAATTATCTATATCTTTTCGTTTTTAGTCACAGTTCGGTTCCAGCGCTCGAGAAGACACGTCGCGTGCGGGAAAGCTCTTGAAACGTAAAAGTTTAAAAATGAAACCAACAATAATTAAAAAAAAAGGTACAAACTAATAAGTGAAACAAACATTTTCATAGAGTGCAAACTAAAACGGTGTAACGGTCATTGAGGAGTGGAGTGTTGAGTGATATGAATGAGTTGGGTGCCACCTGTCATTGGAGGCTTTTCACTGGACGGACGGGGGAGGTCGGAGAAGAGGGGAGGTGGCCATCCGCAAAAAAAAAGCTGATAAGTTTTACTTTAAGAGTATGCATGACCTGATACAAATCTGCAATATAAATACGGCAGATCCCAGCAAACATTTTCCGTTATTTGTCACCATTAACATTGCCCGTATTCATTTTATTAAACATAACATTTATTTTACTTGAAAATGTTAAAATAACTTTAAAATATGATTATGTTAAGAACATATTTTACTCTTTAAACAATTGTTTTGTTTTTAATTACTATCATTGCAAAATTGTATTAAAAAGTATTAAAAATTCTTACACGGGCAATGTTAATGGTGATAGGTATCGTTAAAGTGTTTATTGGGATATCTTTAAAACCTATGAAGGGCACGCGGCGTGGGGCAATAAGTCTGTCAACAGCAAATGCGTAAGGCGGTCCCAATCGAGACCGAAAATAAACACTGGACTCACAGAGTAAACTAACATTGATCACATAATTCTAACACATAAAAAAAGGGCCTAATAGCCAAACTCGAGATTTGTAAACATTAGACAACAGAATAATCGCGCTTGTGATTTGTTTAAATAGTGAATAAATGCAATGCTTTGGAATTTGATAAAGAAAGACGGAACTCTACCACAAAACGTGCTTGGGACAAAAATTATTAAAAACAACTGACACACTTTACCAAGGGCAGGAACTATCTGACCAGGACACGGACAATGACAATAACGAACAAGACAAAGACCTCGACAAGGAAACTACACCTCTGCAGCGAAATAACAACTCCCCAACTCCAAATAGTAATCCCAAATGTTTGGAGTAATACTAATCGACTGGTCTAGGGGGATTCCGCGTCGTACTTAGTTTTAAGTCGGCGTAATTGTCCCCCAAAAACCAACACCCTCTCGTCCCTCCTCCATACCCCACTGAGCGTATAGCATAGGCTAGGCGAAACCGGGAAAGGCTATTAAAACTATTCGCCTCTCGCTCTCGAGCCCCAAATAGGGGACAGTACGGAACGCAATGGACATTCGCACCCAGCAAACACGGGTGAAGCCGTGCAGTTGCTGGGGAAGAACAAAATCGGCGTAAGTAAACATAAGCCTGTACGGGGTTCGAGAGTCAAGAGGAAATGGGGCTGGTTATACGTCTCTTATACTCATACTCATACTCATATCGTTTTTAGTCACGGGCTGAAGTTAGCTTTAAGTTAGTTGTCAAATGTTAAAATAAAGTGCCCTTCTTCTAAAATAATACTAAATGTGAAATTTATTTTATTATCTCAATACAAAAATACATAGTTTCTCAACGCCAATATTTGAAAAGTTTATATGAACATTGTACTGACCTTTTAATTTCGCCGGCAGTAAACTATAGTTTTATTAACACTTTACGGAGTCCGAGCCCGACTTTAAGACTCCACCGTAAAGTGTTAATAAAACAATTTCTTTACTTTTACTGTGAAAAACTGTTGTTTAATCCATTTTCAAGGGATTTTGATTTAATATCTATGTTTAAAACACATACAAATTTGACATTTGACGGTAAC